TAATTAATCTGAGTGTATAAAATTTTCTGTCAGGGGCAAATATAGAATTACATAATGAAGAAAAAAATCATTATACATTAATCTATTTAGACTAGTGTCTTCATCTTGGTTGTGATTATCATAACATTTTGGTCATGTTACCAACTGGCTTTTTTCAAGCATCTCTCACAATTGATAACACAGAAATTTCAAACTGAACCCTTTATTCAATCCAAAAGGGTAGGTTGTTTTTATTCAACTATTTCATTAGGATACCCCCTCATATCTGTTAATTCTTCTTAATTTGTTAATCCTTTACTCATCATCACTAAAAATAACTAAGAAAGGATTCCCTAAAATAAATGAATGAGAACAATCTACTCCTGTGGATTGAATAAAGGGTTTGGCTTGAAATTTCAAGGTTACTAAACTGGATAGATACCTGAAGAAGAATAGGGGATTACAATAACTAGAATGTTGTGACTATAAGAGTCTAGATGAGGACATTAGTCTAAAGAGATTAATGTATAATTATAAGAATTCATCATCTCATAAATTAAGACAAAAGATAAAGAATTCAATAAAAAGAAAATCTGGCAAAGTTTAACATATATACCTGTAAAAAAAAAACAGTGTGTTAGAAGGATGTTTTTTCTCTTGACATTGCAATTACTGGATACTCCCTCGATAATTTTTATTGTTTTAAAAAGTTGTTTTTAGAATCTGAATAAAGCCCAAACACATGGAACTGGATTTATGAATTTTTTTTTCTTGAAAATTGGCAACAAAAGAATTAAGCATTATTTATTTTATTACATTGTTTATTTACAAGAATAATTTTATATTTACAAGTTTATAAAAATATGTGAACCAACTTCAATGCAATATTTATTATTTACCATTTTATACAGAAATAACTATGAAAACACATTTGTTATTCATAAATTTTTTAAAATGTCAATGAGCAAGAAAATAAAATTTATATATGACTACTACTAACTGCAATTATAAATTTAAAAAAATTGTATTTTCCAGACATTTCTTTCACTTGCTCTTGCTACATAAATTCACTAAAAACAATCATCTGGATTTATACTTTTTTCTCAAGAATTGACAATAAAAATGTTAAATATTATTTATTAGACTGTTTAATTACAAGAATAGTGTTTAGTATTTTAGTTGTCAATTCTTGAGAAAAAACTGAATATATAAATCCAATTTCATATGTTTGAGTTTTATTAAAATCTTAAAAATAGCTTTTGAAAACAATAAAAATTGCCACAAGAGTATGCAGTTATAACAGTGTCCAGAAAAAAAACTGTCCTCTTGACATGCTGTTTTTTTTTTTGTTTTTTTTTTGTTGTTGTTGTGGGTGTGTATGTCAAACTTTGCCAAGAATTCAATCAACAAAGGCAGATTAGGGTTGTGGTTTTTAAATTTTTAACTTAAAAAATCTTCCACAGTCTTTCCTACTATTTCGGAATTGTTTTGGGATTGTGTATTTCATTTCTATGTAGGGAAGAAATTTTGAATGTTTTTTTTTTTTGTTTTTTTAGAATACTAAAATATTTTTGTTTGTTGTTTTATAAAATATTTTGTATATAAAAAAGTTTAAATAATTGAATTAATAAAAAAAAAGAATGAATTTTAATTAAAACAGATAATTTTTGCAAGAGAAAGATGCTTTTGTTTTAATTTTTAACAAGAAGAGGAAATATATGGGGGTGCTGAAAAGCTTTCAACATTGATACATTTCCAAAAATCTGAACAAATATCAGAATTTTTTATGAATTTCTTGGGCTATAAATATTTCAGCACACCCTCATATTTTTGTTTTGTTTTTGTTTTGTTTTGCTTCTAAAGTGAACATTGGATTATATACAAGTATACCCACTGATTTTCTAGTACCTTTGATTTCAGAACAGTACCAGTTTATTTATTTTACCAGACCAATAGAAGTCACAGGACATTAATTCACTAATACACTTCTGACCCACAAATCATTCACATCTTATATCTTTACAGCATGAGGACTTTTAGAAACTCATTATAACAAGCATATGGTTGCAAAGGAAAGAACAAACATGGATTAAAATTTCAACAGCATGTATTGATCAATTTTCAGAATATATATATGTATGAAAAGGCAACAAAATTGTTGATATGTGTTTCCTTATTTGCCATTGGTAAGGGAAGCAATTTAGTGTGTTGTTGGTAGGGCCAGGTGCAGGTAGTGGGTTGGTTGACCGAGGTGAGGCTGGTGTCAGGAGAGAGGCCTGGAGTGGATTAGTGAAGCCATGTGGTACCATGAATTGGGTGTTGCTGGCAGAGTTTCTCCATCTATCTTCAGGGTTTAAATTGACACTGGTGGGGTATGTGGATAAGCCAGTGGCCATCTGATGAGGTCAAAGTGTTGAGAAAAACTGCTTGTTGTTGGTAAGGTGTGCATTTTTATATCTGTAGTTTAACATGTGCAGGCTCCCAGGCACATACTCTTTTTTTTTTTTTTGTCAACATTTGTGACTGGCTATTTTAGATTTTTGTGAGGATTTGTTTTGTGAACTGGATGTGATGCTCGGAGCCCCTGTACAGAAGACAACTTTTTTATTTTGGCTTTTGCTTTCTTGGCACTCACATCCAGCTGACATGTCTAGTGAAATGTATTTGTGAGTCAGAAAAAGATCTTGATTAAAGTAGTATAACAAACTTAAATATCAAATATGAATTAACTGCTTAAATGTATATACAGTGCAACCTGTCACCACTTGGTAAACTTGTGTGAGAGAGGCAAGAAATTCAAGGGTTTTCTGATAATTCTGCCTGGATTAATAGATTAAAAGATTAAAAAAATATGCTGGATCATCCTTTGCTGGAAAATGAGTGGTGTATCTGTACATGAATCAAAATGAGGTTTAAGTTTTATACCTTATACTACTTTTTCTTCTACATGCCACGTCCCTTTAGGATGGGGTGTACAGCTGGCGTAATGGGTAGCAGCTTGAAATGTGATATCAGAGAGTCAAGTTTGAATTCCATTTGTGTTCATGTATTCACTTACATGCAAATACCTTTGGGAAAGGTATGATCCATCTCCCCATAACCATGGATTAAATTAGTGGTTTCAAAACTTTTTTTCTCTGGGCTGCATTTTTGGAATTAAAATTTACTCATGCCTCACCAAATTTTATGTGATAAAAAGTCCATTTAAAAAAACAAAAAAAAAACAGAGAGAGAGAGAGAGTTAAAGGGACATAACTACAGATGTGAAGTCAGAACATTATTATTGATAACTCTCTCCTTCAATTTGCAGAGCCTAGTTACTATATTCTTAATACTTGATATAATACAAAATATGACAATGATAAAATTGGTCAATAATTATTTATAACTATTTATACTGGGACTCATACATGCAATTACAAGTAATCCATAATAATATTTTAAATTTTGAAATCATTTATTTTTGGTATATGAATTTTTTAAAAATGTTTCTAAATCTTTGTCTTTTTAAACATTCTGTTTCACCTGCTATCCCCTTCCACCACAACTATGAGACACACCACACAGTTTGGGGACCACTGGGTTAAATAGTAGTACTTGTATCAGGAAAAAAAATCCTTGTTATTTTCAAAATATTGTTAATGCAATATTCATTCATAAAAAAATGTCTCGGCTTTAAATAAAAGGAGAGAGCAACAGAAGAAAAGTTTATTCTCCCATTTGTATTTCTCCCATTATGGGCATTATTATATCCATGACATAATAACACTATATTTCGCAGACGGAATGGAATGGCTGAAAGGAAAAGGAATGACAAACGTGTTTTGTTCTCAGGAAGACATTTATACCATTAAGACATACGCAAAACTATATATACATATTTATATGTGTTGCATGCAGAGAAATTATAACATATATGCAACAACAGACATTGTGTAAAAAAGGGAAACTTACATGTAATATTTCCTGAAGGGAAAGTGAAGTTAGTGTTTTCTCTATGAACCTGGCGAGGCCATGTGGTTTTTCCTCTAAGACCTACTTCTGTGAGCTAGGGATATCCTTCTTCTCTGGGCTCTACATTGCAACTGATTTTCATCACTCTATCTGCTCACATCACTCACCAGCCATCATGTGACCCTCATGATTATATCTAAATGAAATGGGATCCCTACACCACAAAGGTTTGATAAGTCATAAAAAACAAATCAATCATTTCATGATGTGGGCAATCATGGTTCTCTTCAGTCTCCTATCCTTTGTACCTCTAAGCAGTTTTTTTTTTTTTTTTGGAGTGTTGGGGGGCACTTTTTTCTTTTATCTACTGTGTCACTTTAGGACAATCATGGCTCTCTACAACTACCTAAAATTTCTAGATCTTAAGCAATGTTTTTTTTTTCTTTTTTGTGCCGTGTTCTTTCAGAATGATCATAATCCTTTGTAACTTCCTATCCTTTGAAGCTCTAAGCAATGTTTGTCTCCTTACTATCCCTCCCAGTCCCTGTTCTGCCATCCATTTAAACAAGCTTGTTAGGTAGGTGATCATGGTCCTCCACAACTTCCTATCCTTTGTAACTCTAAACAATGTGTGTCTCCTTACTATCCCTCCCAGTTCCTGTACTGCTATCCATTTACACAATCTTGTCAGGTAGGTGATCATGGTTCTCCACAACTTCCTATCCTTTGTAATTTAATTGAATGTTTGTCCCCATCCATTTACACAATCTTGTTAGGTACGTTACTCACTGTTTCCCTCTGCACCTCTTGCTTTCAATGTATCATAAAATTGTATTGCATACATGCATGCATTAAGTTCAAGCAGAAGTTTCCAAAACTATTTTTATACAATCTTAGAAGTGTCTTTGAAATATACTTAGTTCTTTATTATTTGTACATGTATTCTTTTTAAGAATATTTTTACAGAAAATAATCATTTTAATTTGGTGAAAATTATGGCTAAATAAAATATTTGGTGTTGTTTAGTCCTCATGTTTATCTAGTAGAAATGGGGAGTGCAGAGGGCTTACGGCTGTATCATGTTGAAACACAGGTTCCTGAACAATCACCAAAGTTAAGCAATGCTGAGCCTGGTCAGTACCTAGATGCTTGACCGCTTGGGAATACCAGGTGCTATGTTTGGATATGAAGGTGGTGCAATGGATAACGGCTTGAAATTGGAAAACCAAGTTCCAGTTGTGTTTGTTATATTCACTTCCATGCAAATAACCTTAGGAAAGGTATGAATCCACCTCTACTTTCCCCAATTATGGGTTAATTAGTAGGATTTGTATCAGTAAATCGTTGTTATCTCCAAAAATACTTACAATATAAAAAACATTTTCTGGCTTTAAATAACCTTCAAAAGATTGATAAACCATAAAAACAAAACACTCAATCACTCAGGAGTACAGCAGAATCTCAACAATGAACTACTAATGTTTTTTTTTTTTTTTTTGGTTATTAGGCAGTTGATACAAACATGTTTCAGGAATGTTTTGTAAAGGTTAAAAAAGGAGATTGTTTTTAGCTCAAGGACAAAGGACACTTTGGAAGTTCTCAGAACTTGAAAGATGATGAACGAGAGGAACTTTCGAACAAAGATGCAACACAGCACAAAAAAAGTAAAATTTGAATGACACATTGGAATAAAAAAAGAAATTTTTCCTGGAAAGAAAATTGGCCAGTAGTTTTTGCTGCATGACAATATATTACTTCCATTAAAAATAATATCTGAAGTAATAAGTGTGAGAGTAAAAATAAATACATAATTCACCAGTTCTAATTTCCATGCCAAAATCTGATATATATTGTTACATTTTTAATAATTTATTTTAGCCACAAGCATAGAGTATTTAATGTGAATCAAACTCACTACAAAGGAGTAAATATCACCAAATGACAAAAAAGGTTTTTGAGTTGGAGGCAATAACTTTGTAATTAGTAGTTAATAGAGATGCAATAATCTCCCTTGTGCAGATTTTTATGTCATTGTCTAAAATTTACTTGGAAACTGGTAGCAAATTAGACTAGAAATTGCTTTTCTGTCCAAGTTAGAGCATTTTAAAGGTATTGCATTAACTGAAGTTGTGCAATGATGTGCTGCTTTTGTTGCGTTATGGTAACAGACGTACAAATATAGAAACATAAATCAGACCATTGTAATACAGATGATACAATGGTAATTGAAACAATAAGGAGGTAATTTTGAATTATAATGTAGAGAAAAACCATTAAAAAGTTAATGCAGTTCCATTAAAATGCTCTAGCTTGAACAAAAAAGCAATTTCCAGTTTAATTTGCCACCAGTTTCCAAGTCAATATATCAAGTAGTCATTCTGAATAACAGTTGGAGTAACAGCCTGATTCAAAATAGAGGAGTCCTTAAGAAATCTTCTTGTGTCTAGTTTATTTCCTGTTGTATGAAAACTTTCTTTATAAGAAGAATTATTGTAACAGGCCTCAAGAATTTGTGGAATATAAACATTTTTACACTTTAACTGTTTATGCTTTTTCTTTGTGGAATTAAATATTTTTACAAGGACAAACTTTCAGTTTCAACTTTTCATATAATCAACAAAGTGAGTTTGAATTTGTTGTAAAAATATTTATACTGTCTCTTTTGTGAATGTCATGAATCCACTTTACTCTTTCCTCTGTCCAAATTCTTGACAAGACTCTCAATGCTGCTATACCATGATGCTAATAGAGAAGGAAATCACTGAATAAGCATTTGGACAACCTACTCTATCATAACTACTCAAGCAGAAGCAATAAAATCTGTTGTTCCTATTGTCAACTTTTAACCTATCTAGAATGTAATATGTGGAGAATTCAATGATAAAATATGATGGTAGCAACAAAGATGAGAACACTAGTCCCAGTAAATCAGTGTATAATAATGATAATGTTTCATCTTAAAAATGCAAACAGTGTACCATTTAATATATTTTCAGATAAATATTTTTTATGTAAAAAAAAAAAAAAAATGACCTTTAATCTTTTTTTAAAAAAATTTACCTTTGATTTTCTTTTTTAAACTACAGCAAAAATTATATATTTTGAAGTGTTGCTGGTTACTTTATTTTATTGATAACTCCTTGCATGTCAATTCGGAGCCCAGATATAGAATTGTGTATGAAATTAACACTTCCATTCTGTTATAAGAATTTTAAGCTGCTTGAGTATGTATTGTTTTCCTTTCAGAGAGAAAAGAGATGCTTTTGAAAATATTTTTGGTACATTTCAATTTGTGTGAAAACATTTGTGTTTGTTTTTCATCCAAAACAAATAAAAAGGTTTCCCTCCAAATTCCGAGGAGTGTATTTGGAGCATGCTTGTAGGCTATTTAAGTGGGACCCTGGATTTAATTTTTGAATTCAACAAACAGCTGCTGCAGGAACCCAGGTCACCCTGTTCCAGAAAGAAAAACAAAACAGAAGAAATTTGGCAACAACCAGACGAGAATTGAATGGAACATCAAAGTCACTTCCACATCAAGGAAAAGTCTTTGGCTGCTCTGCTTGTTCTATTCTTTGCAGTGACCTTGAACTTTGTTTAAAAAATTGAACTAAATTATTCCTTGAAAACTATTCAGAGACGTATTTTCTCCTTTTCTTCATTTTATGTCGTTTTCTTTTCTGAGGACCTTATAAGCAGCATTATAATTTTTATTGTAAAAAGGCATATTCCATTTTCATTGGTAATGTACATACATGTTATTGGTCATCATTTGGCACACAATTCATTCATTTTGTGTGTTAACAATAAATTTGTTGTCTGTTTTTAAACTTGGCTTGTGTTGTCTGTCTTTGTTGTGTGCACATATTAATTGTTACCTTAAAGATTTGTTTGAACTATTTTTTTCATAGGGATTTTTTACTAAATAAAAAATTCCCATACTGTAAAAAAAAATCCTATCACTACAAAGATCAACAAGTAAACTCGGCTCTGGAAAGAAATGGATATTCCAAAAAGATTCACAATGTTACAAATCAGATTGCCCTTCTATTGACCACAATGACCAACAAAAACAACCAAAAATATTTGATGATGATAATCTTGAAGTAAGCACCAGAAAGTTTGGATACACCTATAGCCAATTAGCAAGAAAAACCCATCATAGTTCTGTTTAATAATCTCTTGTTAACAGCCTTTACTCAAAGAGGAGTGAAAGATGTTTTTTAAAAAAAATGTTGAAATAATTTTGAGCCTTGTAACTTGTCCGGTATGTTAGTTAATATTTCATGCTGGCATAGTGGTTGATCTCTAAGTTAATTTGGAAAGCAGACGGGCCCTCACAGTGACATAGCTAGAATGTGTGTTGCTCGGAGCAGCCCTTAAGTTTGCTGCTCCCAGTCACCACAAAAAATACATATTGCACAATGGCTCACTCTTAAAGTTATAAAACTAGTTTGTGTGCCATTATAATATTGCTTTCACATACTCAAATATAGTATGCTTGAAATGCACACCAAATATACTTAAACTTTATTAGTAAGAGATAAAAAGCAAAAATGACATATAGGGGAAAACATCTAAAAATTTAGGACCATCTTTATTTCTGAAATGAAAATTACAACTTTCTACAAAGTAACTTTTCTTGCTTTTTTGTTGGCAAATTCTTCAATGACATTGTCAAAAACTATTTCATCTGTCAATTATTTATATAGTCTCTATAAATGGTATATAGCCCAATATATATGGCATAGTTTAAGTTACTCAAAATTAAAAAGATCTTTCAACTGTGAGTACTGTCCCAACATTAAAACCACGTTTATTTCAATTCAGACTATACAGGCTTTTAGCCTACATCAGACACAAAAGTGCTGCCCCCATAAAAGTGCCATCTGGGATGAATCACCCCCACTTTAGCTACGTCACTGGGCCCTTGTTGACTAAAAGATTGGCATGGTATTATATCTCACATTTAGGATTGTGCTGTACTAAGCTAAACTTAATAAATATTAAAATGATCTAGAATTGTGGGATTACCCCACCTTGTCTACCAGGAAATTCTTTCTAACACCCACTAAGTGGTGTTGTATAAAAGGAAAGGGGCACAAACCATCTACTTCATTTTTTTCTCTTTTCAACCACAGGATATTGTTGTGCTAAGGTGTGTCTTATTTCCCTCCCTGGAAAAATTCTGAGTCCCCCAGGCCTGCCATGTGTCACATACAACACACTAAACTATCTCCTGTTAAAGAAACCCTCATGTAACCACAATAATATCTCTACTAAAAGTTATTACATAAACATGCTATCTATGTCTCAATAGTCTGATCAGATTGATATGGTCAAATTGGCAGCTGATCTCAAAAATAACCTACAGTCAGTTGTTAACTGGGGTAAAGGATGGCTTGTTAATTTTAATGCCTCCAAAATAAAACTGCTCTCTATTAATCATCTGAGAGACCCCTTTCTGCCTTCCATCAGCATGGCTAATGCTAACCTCTAAGAGAATGACATGTTGTGCCTTCTTGGGCTAACATTCTTGGCTGACATGAAGTGGAAAGACTATATTGACTCCATTATTAGGTCTGCTGCTAAGAAAGTTGGTTCACTGTGTTGTACAAGTCAATTTTTCTCTCTGGAATATATCTTACACCTATAAGTCTACCATTTGTTTATGTCTCTAATATTGCTACCACATATTATCCAGATAAAATCTAAAAACAAATCTGCAATATTCTCGCTTTCTTTTGGTTTCACTTTCCCACCGCCATAAAGCCATAAAGTCAGTAATTTTTCAGATGGCCTCTTTGCTATCATGCCTAGATTTTATAAATTTAAGCACAGTACTAGATTGGCAGTTAGGTCTCATCAATTTACAGTTGAATTGGCTAGCTCTAACCATAAGTTCTATGCTAACAGTGTTTTTCTTATACTTCTTGCTTGTGGAACTCTTTTCTGTCTTCATGCTTTCCAGTCAAGTTTGATCTTCAAAAATTTACATGCAATGTCAATTGTTATCTATTGTCTTCCTAATTACTTTCCTATGATTCTTGCTCCTCAGTAATGTTTCTGTTTTCTAATTCTTCCACACCCAGTAACCCCTTGTGTCTTAGTAGCTTTACTGCTTTGTTTTGGGTGGTTTTGATTAAAAAAATATATATATCTTCATATTCATCCTTCTTTAACAAAATGGTTAAAATCACTACAAACTGATAACCTAATCTTATTTCATTTTATTACCTTGTTTTCATTTTGCTTGTGTTACTGAGCTTGCTTATTAAAATAATAATCAATTTTCAATCTTGTTTCATGAATGAATTACATAAATGTTGAATTTCTTTTGAGGTTTTCAACCAAATGTCATTCTTCTTTTACTGTTGTGTTCCTTCAGGACATAGGTGATCATGGCCCTTCACATCTTCCTGTCTCTTGTAGCTCTTAATAAGTTTTGTCCTTTTGTTATTTCTCCCAAACCCTGTTCTGCCATCCATCCTCTCAAGCCCACCAAGTATATTACACATTGCTTTCCTCTGTCCTGTTAGTATCAGATTTTCCAAGCCCTTCTTCCTCATTATGTGCCCCAGAAATTTCAACTGCCTCTTCCTGGTGTTAAGTATAAGTTACCTTTTTGTTTCCATTCTTTCCAAAACTTTGTTGTTGCACACGTTTGACCAATTGTATCTTCAGCATCTTTCTGTAGAACCATATTTCTGTTGCTTCAAGTCTCTTCCTCATCTTTGAGGCAATTGTTCGGCATTTTCTGCTTTACAGGAGGACAGATATTATGTAACAGTTCAGTATTCTTTTCTTTGTTTCCAACAAAATTTTTTCTGTCTCTTAGTACTCTGCTTAGCTTGTGGAATGAATTTTGGCCATCCCAATACATCTTCGGATCTTGGTGTTGAACTTTCTGTTCCTTGTTAGAACACTTCCCAGATATCTGAATTTCTGTACCTGCTTGATTTTAGTATTCCTGACCTGTAATTTGCATTTTTGGGTTATCCTTTTGCTAAAAACCATGCATTCTGTCTTCTTGTAGTTTGTGCTTAATCCTTTCTTCTCCCTTTCCTTATGAGGTTTTGTAGTTTCTTTTCTGTCTGCTATCAGCACTGTATCGTCTGCATATCTTATATTTTTAAGATTGTGGCTGCCAATAATGAATCTTGGTAGGATTTCTGATTCTCTCAGAATTTCCTCACTGTTCTCGGTTGAATAAATCCAGTGAGAAGACACATCCTTGTCTTACACCCCTTTCTATTTTTGTATATCTGCTGAACAAAACCTTAAAAGTATGTGTGTGTGGAAGTAAAAAAATTAACCTTAAGTTTTACTAATAATTAACAAAATCAAAGTAGAAATTTATACATTTTGGATATTTCAAGTTGTTAGAATACCTGCAATAGTCTCCTCTCCTTCATTTAAAATTACATTCATGCACTGTCTATGATAAATAAGACTAACATTAACCTGTATCTTATTTCCGGGTTTCTCTTATATCCGGGTTTGGTCTAATTTACATACATTAACACGGGCTCTAATTTGGGACCAGAGAAAATATCTCTTATATCCGGGTTTCTCTTATATCCGGGTTACACTGTATGTACAAATCATTAAAAATCTAAAAATGTGTGGTTAGGTCTCACCAGTCTAGTAGCTGGGACAAGATTTCTTAGTCATTAGTTTTCCTTTGTTTGATCAAGGCAGATAATCAAATGTACGATTAATTAATACCAATAATTATTTATATTATCGAAATCGTGTGTATTTTTGTGTGAGTAATAAATCTCTACACCCAGGTATCTACCGTGAAGTTTTCAAATCTGATGTATGTAAAGGCGACAGAGTAGTCTCCCTTGTGCATATCATTATGCGCATGTTCTTCAGCCAAGTACGGCACTGCAGCGACGGATTTTCCATCCTGGTCTCTCGTCATCCTGGCTCTTATCGAAGCACCCGTACGAAAATATCAGCACAAGGTTGGTCACACGTGGTAGATGCTTCGGCGACACCTCACCATGTTTAGCGTTGATACACGATTTGCCCATTGTGTTTTAAAAGTCTTTGGGAAGTTTTTAGTCTTTTCAAACGTTCGTTATTGCATGACAAAAACAAAATGGCGCTTGCATAAGTGAAGAGAAGAGAAGCGCCGTCCACCGCTGTTGAGGAAAGAAAGAAGGAGGTGGATGGCTGGATATATATTTATTAAGTATATATTGTTGATATTAATGCCCGTTCCTGATGCTGTAATTTGAATCACATATGTGCAATTTTCGTGCTGATCAATTCTCCACACCTCTTTATTATTGCTTACAAAAACAACCACTAAGACATTTGCTTGATCAAAAGGAAAAAAAAAAATTTTTTTTTTTTCTTTTTTTTTTTATCTATTAAACAAAAATTAGCTAAAAGTTTTAAACAAATAGGAATATTAAAATATATTTTTAATAACTAAAATTTTATTACCGGGGAGGAAAAGATTAGTTTTTTTTTGCAAGAAGCACTTGCCTTCAAAAAAATAAAGTTTAAAAATGTGAAATGAAAAGTGAAGGCAGGTGTTTTTTTTTTGTTGTTTTTTTTCTTTTCCCTTGGCTATTTTAGTCTTTCACTATTAAAGTTGTTAGTTTTTATTTTAAACTAATTTTAAAAAAATATTTTTATAAATTACTTTTTTATGCCTTAATTATGTATTTTTATTCGTAGGTTTTAAAAAGCTATGCCAATGTCATTTGAACTGCACCCCACAAAGTCATCATCACTCACATGATAATGACTGCTGAGATTTAACTTGATTTTAAAAAATCCATCAAGAAAAAATTTCCTTGTATTTTATAGCTTAAAAGAAAATGTCTCAAATCCTTTCAGTAAAATAAAGCAATAGACTTGAAAAAAACCAAAAACCACGTGGTTAGAACTTAAAACTTGTTGTTTTTTAGTTGTTGAATCACTGCTTTTTTTTTTCTTGACGATAAAACTCTTATCGAATTCTGAAAAGATTTCTTCCTAAATTCTGTAAATTATTTCAAATGCGTTGTTAGTAACTTTTTTGGTAGACCTAAAACTTGATTTGATCAATAAACAGTTTTAAACACACATTTTTTTTTCTTTTTAATTGTAGTAAAAAATAAACATCTTTGCTAAGTTAAACCTTCGTTTTACTTTTAAGTCTTAAATGTGAATTCAGAAATAATATTACATTTGTTACAATTGTCAATTATCGCTTAATTGCATACAAATTGCTCATTTTGAAAAAAGAATGTCTTTCGATTTCCTTTTCTACATCTTTCCTTTCTCCAAATACAAGTTTATTTAAATAACCCCGCTTGATATTCTACTTTCAAGGGACACATTTTTAATTTCATTTAAAATTAAAGATGTAATCAAACAGACTGATTTTGTTTGTTTATAAATAAAGGGTTTCATTGTCAGTTTGCCCTAAAAATAGTTAACTTTCTCTATGTCCTGTGTTCAATAATAATACTTACTTTTTATTTTCGTTCTTTTGTAAAAAAAGCCTAGTTGATTTTTAAATATTAAAAAAATATGTAAAATATCTTGGTTTAAAAAACAAAAAACCTACGTTAACGTATTATTTCTCAATTGTTATTAGTCAATTTATTTGGGGAAAAAATTTAGAATGTTCTCTAGGCTTTTAGTTTTATTTTTGAAAAAGTTTTTAATTTCATTTTTTTTTTCTTTGTACAGTAATTCACAATTTTTTAAATAAATATTTAAACGAATTTCGTCTTGATAACTGAGAAATAGAAATATGTAAACTAGCTGCTAAAAACATAAAGAAATAGATTTTCATTTTTGTCTCTTTTGCTTTCAGCTTTTCTCTTAACGTCAAAAAGAATTATTTTTTTAAATAAATATTAGTTTTTTAAAAGAACGGTATTTAATTTCGAGTTGTACTTTAGAGATTTTCTTTTGTTTGACCGTCTTTCATGTCGGTCCACTTTTTGATGGTGACAACGACTCTTTTTGAAGTTAATTAGTAATGAATGAATAAAATAAAAATTAAAAATATATTCATTAGAAAATATAGTGGGTTTCTAGCCTTGTACTAAAAATTCAAAGAAATGTTGGTTAAAGCCTTAAAAAGCTTGACTGCAACAAAAACGATAAAAAAAAAAAACAAACATATAATAAATTTAGTTAAAAAATTAAAAATAAATTAAAAATCCTTATTGTCTTGTTCTTGTATGTACACTAACAATTTTTATCCTTCATAAGTTGTTAGGTATCTAATTTGGTTAAAAAAAACCCTGAAAAATTTAAACAGGAAATGTCAGTTACTTTGGTTTCTTATCCTTCATGGAGTTGTGATTCAATATTTATCCTTCTAATTTACGAATTTAACTACCCTTTATTACTACACTGCTAGCTAACAGTCATCATTTTTTTTCCTTGAGAGTTGAGTTGAGTATAAAGTTCCAGATGGTCGTTAATTGCATGTAGCTAAAAAAATGAAAAATATTAATTTTCAATTTTTCTAATCAAGTAGTATTTCTTGCTTTTTTTTACAGGGCAATATTTAAGCTTTGTACCCGAAAAAAAAAAAAAACTGTCAAAACCTCAAAAGGACGGTTTATTTCCTTGACATCTTCACATATTTTCTTGTGAGTAAACGTTGCCGAGGAAGTCAAGTGTATATAGCAATGTAAAAGAAAAGGAATAACCATCCTTTTGACAGTTTTTTTTTTTGTTTTTTGCAGGCATGAAGATTAAACATTGATCTCAGATTGTCTTTTTGCAGTTGGTAGCAAGAACTGCAGACCAGAAACAATAACTGTAGTGTAGACATTTGCTTTTAAAAGAAAAAAAAAATAGTGAACAATTTATAAAATTTGACAATTCTTCATTTAATTGATAAATTCAATAGCACTTTTCGGCTAAGCAACATATTAATTCATGGATTTAAGAAAGTCCTGTTTTATTATTATTTTATATTTCTGTTTAGTCCAATCTCTTACTCGTAAGGCAAAGTAATGCCTTCTGTCTGCCCAAATTCTAGTGTTAATAACATGTGTTTATATTTTTACATTTGATAATACTTTCCTGAGCAAATGAACAATTCCATACAGTACAATGTTTTTTGTAATCGGTTTTGGCTGCCAGGTTTTTTGCTAATGTTCTTGTCTGTACGTTTTTTTGTTTTTGTTTTTTTCATACCTGGAGCTCCAGTTATGATGGACATAAAAGTAGTTTTAAGGTGACACATTTTTTAGTTTCAATATCAAGATTCTCATATTTGTCATATTTTTTTAACAGATGTTGTTATGTAGTTGTTATATATATATATAAAAAACTTTGATAGCAAATAAATTTCTGCTTGGTACTAAATGACCTATACAGCTGTTGATGCATTCAACCTTAATATTTAATTTCTGCTAGAAACATTTAGCATTGATATTTGCTTGTATAATTAGGATAAAAAAATCTATACATGTCTATTGAATTGAAGATGTAGTCTGGTGATTAGATTGATTCGTGTTCGTCCATCTCTATACTTATAAAATCTTCTGTATACAAGAAAGTTGACTAGTGGGTTTAATTTCATATTGTCTTTCAGTACTAGAGCCTTTTCATTTTAAGACTGGCAGGTTGCAGAAAAGTTATTGGGACAAATCTGCTACCTAGTAAAAAGAAAATATACCATGTGTCATATTTCACGTGTACACAGAATAAGTAACATGACAACTAAGTGAAAGAGTAAATATGTATTGGTAACATCAGTTCAAATTTGATTACATAAGTCATCCATTTGGTATTAACTAGTGTTTTACACTAGTTTACATCAACTGAGTAGCTGTTAGAAAACAAATACCATCTGATGGTGTTATGAAGCAAAAATATTTGTTGACTTTGCTTCAGTAAATGATAAATGTTTCTGTGTCCTGAAACTTAGCCAAACCATTTTGTACAGAAGTTTACTAAAGATCTTTCTAAGGTTGAACTTGTCCTTCCCCAAAAGCTTATGGAACACTGAGGATGTTCTTATCTGCTCTTTTTACTACAGTGTGCGGGGTTCACTCAGGTGGGTTGGGGGTGATATGAACTTTTGTAGTGACAATTTTCTGAAAATGAGTTGATAATTTAATGTGAATGTTGATCTTTTAAGTGTCATATTGCTTAGGACATTTGTTTTTGCTATCTGTGCAAAACATTTTCAGTAAAATTTTCATAAAGATGTATATTGGCTTCTAAAAATAGTTTTAAGGATGAACTTGCACAGAAATGTGATCATGCAAAGAGGTAAATTTTGAGTAATGATGATGGTGAGATAAGAGAGGTTTGTTGCTTTCTGTAAAATCTATGTGACAAGGCTTGTGAGGTGGATAATGCTCATATTAGTAAATAATTATTTAGTTGAATAATATAGATACTAATGTTTATTATATTTTTTTGTTTTTTCTCGCACTCTTTGTATATTTTTCGATTTGCTATTTTGCAGGTATTTTTAAGATTTTATGCTTCTTGGGTCTAATTTTTATTTCCTTCCAATTCACTCACTTTAGTAAAATGTGTGACACTTCCATACTTATGAATTAATAAATGCTCTCTTGTTAGGAAGTAGGAAAGTAAGCATTTTCTCACTTTATTCTAGAGTTGAGGGGAAAGTAAAATTTTATTGCTGGTTGGGCACTACAAGAAGGAGGAAAAACGCCAGAAATGTCACGTGTCTATGATTTAATATGTTATATTATTTAGGCCATAAAATACTTATCCTGCTTTGTTTCTCTATTGAAACTACTTTCAGTATTGCACGTAAGAAAAATATATCAAATGATTAGATATATACTGACCTTTTCAACAAAAAAATATATCCATACATGATTAGATATATACTAAACTTTCCAACAATAATATATACCCGTACATGATAAGATATATACTGATTTTTTTCAACAAAAATATAACTGTAAATGATTAATATACCTACCTTTTCAAAAAATATATATCCATGCATACCCAC